TTTTATATTTACTAATTATTTTATTGGGAGATCTTACAGATATGATAACAAGCCAAAATTCAATTAGATCAAGCATAATTGTCCAATTGCTCCCACCAAAACATTTCTTTCTTCTTGAGGTCTTTGATATCAGCTCCCCTTAATCCCCTCACTCTCCTACCTTATCCTTCCCCAAGGAACCTTTATTATATATATTTATATATGTGTGTGTGTGTGTGTGTGTGTCATATCTTATACCATCCAATGTACCCTTTTACCTAAAATTCTGTCATTTGTAATGATTTCCAGTCTGCTTTGCAGCATTAGATGCAGTTTTTCAGAATAACCACCAGATGGCGCATCGCATAAATGATATTCTAACTTTCAGTTTTCGAGGAACAGAAGAACATTCTCATAAATTCCCTTGTATGATGAGATGGAAATAAAGATACCCATGACTATGCTGCGTTTTAAAAAGTGACTTTCTGAGTGTATTCTCATGACAGAAAAACAAAACTATTTTTGGCAAGGTATAAAAATCTTCAAGGTGATCATGTTAGTGAGATACTTTGCCAATTAGTAAAACATGTTCCTCATTAGTCCCTCCCAACAATTGCATCTGGTTGGAAGTAATTTTTTCTTTTCCTTGGCTGTTTACAACGAGTGATGCCTTTTAGTACTGGAACTAAGCTTCCACCCCAGGCCCGCAGTCTGGATCCATGTGAACAATATGCTAATTGTACTTTATTAGATGGGCTTGCCCCAGAGTAACCTATTTGCATTGCTATTGGACAACTGCCAACCGACTGCTTAAAGCCATGGTTGTAATTCAATTGTTGGGCAGCATGCTGGCTTTCAAATATAGTTTTACAAAATGGGAACATTAGGGGGCATGCAGAGCTCAGGATGCTGGTTACCACACTGCATGAAAGGACCCTATTGGCTTGCCTGGCTCTCTGGTCTCATTCGTTCAGAACACTGACAGTGGCATGCCTTCTTTCGCGGTTCCCTTATGTGTAACGTACAGGTGTCATTTTCAACTCACACTGGAAAAGATTCTGGCTGCTTCTGCCAGTGTCACCGCTGCCGTATTGTGCCTCAACATCCTGCGGATATATGTACATATATGTACACGCAGGAAAGTCCTCCTGAAAAACGTGGCTTGCAACAGCATGCACCGTTCTTTGCCTTTTGATGCACAACATCATGTTTACAGTGCAAGGGGGATGCAAATGGCCCAAGGCATGACGCAAATGATCACGGTCATTGTTCTAGCATTCGGAAAAATTGTAATCACTCATTTGCATTACAAATGCGGATTCTATTCTATCTTTACATAGTCAGCATCCATAAGATGAATGCTTATATAATGCTGGCAAAAAATATGGCAACAGCTTCCTTCATGTGGGCTTTTCTTTTTTTTAAAAGAAGCCTTGTAAATGTTCCCACTTCGGGGCCGGTACATCAAATCCAAATGCCAAGTAACTTTTCAGGTCAGCAGTGGAAGGTTCTTGGCAAGGTAAAGACTGAAACAACCAATTGGCCCAGATCACGTGGGTTTGTAAATAGAGAAAAGACGGCAGGAGCAAACATTGGACAAGGGCACCTGTTCGTTGACTCTGGAATGTGATGGCCCATGGTGAATCAGGATCTTCACAATTTCCACATCTCCTTTCCAGGCAGCCAGGTGAATAGGAAAATAACCTTTATTGTCTGCGACATTTGTGGATGCCTCATAGTGAAGCAGTTTGAGAACGATGTCCCTGTGGGAGAAAAACCAAACAAAACTAAGAAAGGCTGAACAACGCTGATTTGATTAAGCGAGCAATTCTGAAACTACACCCGGCTGGGCTGACAATGTCAAAGGAATCGTGCGAGTGACCAAGACACAAAAGGAGGCAGGTGCGTTTACCTGTCAACAGTCGGTTCTTTTACTCACCTGGTCCACACCCACCACCACGTGTACACAGAAGGTGTTGACTAGCTAACCTAGTGTTGACTGAGTAGAATTCACTTGGACAAAAAATATCTTATTTCCTTAACTCGATGAATTAAGTGAAACCCATAAAAGGATACTTTCTCCAATTCTTACAGGAGAGAGATTTTTCCAGATCGACCATTTCTGAGAGCTAGCCTGCAGGAAAAGTTAAAGTGCATAGCTGATTCTGTTTGTTTTACCTAAAAGAAAAATCAGACTACTGAGACTTATGTGGGTATTTTACCTCATGTAAAGTCACAAACTATTGCTACTAGGGGTTCCAGCTCAGAGAAGCACACACTTAGTCCAAACAAAATGAATTTAAATATACCGGTGTAATCAGTGGGTGGCTACAGACTGTGCTCTCGGTAATAGACTTATCTCGGTCTCAGTAGGGTGCTTTCAAACAACCCCAGTCAAAACAAATCCAATCCAAACAGTGGCTTCCAAGAGGATCTGCTGACCAATTCAAGACAGAGGTTCTGGGGACTGTAGGGATTCCGTGCATGACAAGTCCTCTCAAAGGACACACAACAGTCATGGAGCTCATTGGAAAGAAGTCTCAAGAAAACAGAAAACTGCATCTGTGAGAAAATGGTCAGGAAATTTGCACCACGGATAGTTTATCTCCCCCCCCTAATGACAAGGGAAGCAAGGGCTGGCCAAGGACATTTTTCTGGGGAAATCTTACCTTATCTAATCTACAGGCCCGCTCTTACCCCCTTTCCATTTCTTTATGTTACAAAACTCAAGGAACTTATCAAAGGACCACAATTCTAGTCCCTTGAGGATGCCACAACCCCCATTTGATAGGCACTACATCAAATAGCACCGAGTTCTTCGAGAAAGGGTTAAACATACATGGAGACTCCGTGGGGAAACAAGAGCTTCACATGTTGATATTTCTGTTTTATAAATATGTCTATGAGCCTGTGGCAATACTGGCTGACTTTCCCTAGGACACCGTTCTGTACAGAACCGGAATCAGAGATGTAAACTACATACACAAAGCAAGCGGAAGACGTAAGAATGGTCTTAAGGAGGCAGTTGCAGAACAAACGCGGGAGTGGAAAAATTTAATAACTTTTTTCAGTCATGACACATATCACACTTAGCGTGTGTCCTGTTCCTATTTCTGTACTCCCTGGTATTTTTCCACCAAGCCTCAGAAATTATTTCAAGTGGGAGATTCATTCAGGAAGATAAATTCCACCATGTCACGGTGTCCACACATCTTCAATATACACCACCTGCAGAATTGTGTACTCAATATCCACCAGATTTTCAAAGATTAAAAAAAGATGAACTGCAATACTCAGCCTCAGATGAACTACTTCACAATCATGACTATGCATTCTGTGAATTTTTATATCAAATAATAAAAAACAATCATTGTAAAAAATTCCTTATTTTCATTAGAATGCATTTAAGAAATGAATTGTTTTAACTTACTAAATGATACATACACAATGTACTTAAGTGATACATACAATTACCAAAAAAAATTTCTAAAATTGCTAAAATGAATCACAGAGAGAAAAGTAATTGTTACAGGAAGAGCTACATTTATCTTAAAATCAGTCTCTAAATGGAAGTAACCAAATGAGAACAGTTGAAGAAACTTGGAATAGAACGGACTTAGAACTCTGCCAGCCCCCCCAAAAAAATGCACATGATACCACACAAAACTACAGTAAATGTCAGAGCCCATCACCGAGGAAGTGCCATAAACTCAAGATGTTAAAGTGAGGTGGTAAATGGCATGGAATCATAACTAAAGACTTGGGAATATATTTTAAAATATGTTGAGAATATATATGTTTAGACAGGTCCCCCAAAGCTCTAATTTTCCTAAAGATAAGCTTTCAGAGAGAAAAGAATAAATCATTTCAACATTCCTGGTTAAAAACAAGTGTTACTTTGCAGGATCTGAATGTAGGTGACTTGACTTTGAGTTCCAGTTCTAGAATCTCCTAAGTGACCCTGGAGAAGTTAGTCTCATTTTCTTCTTTGGTAGATGAGAATAATGCCTAGAGGCCCAAAGCATTTGAAGCTTCCAATGCTCTAAACTCTTAAAGCACATGTGGCTAATGGGATCACACACAAAATAGCATTTTCCCACAACAAAACAAAGGATCAAATTACAGTTAATGGTAACTTACTTAAACAATTACAATATTTTATAATATGAGGCTAATACAAATAAGTCTATGGGCAGATGCGAAATTCTGAAAGTATTCATTTTTTCTACTATATTTAATTCGCATTCATTTTCTGATACATGTAAATACACTCTGGTTAATAATATAAAAATGTGTCTCAGTAGATATTCTGAGGAAAAGTACATGAACTGAGGAAATTCAACACCTAAATTTCAATCCCTTAAAAGCAAGATGACCTATAATTAAGTCATAGCCCAAGACATTTATTTTGTTCCATCCTCCCTTCCAAGACAGTAGTCCAAAGACCACTGAAAGAAGTGCAAATCATCATGTTTGCAGTATTATCAAACCAATGACATTTTCAAATTCAAGAACATCCTTTTGATTCCAAATATTCATGAAGCTTTCACCTCTCTTTACTGAGAATGTAGTTGCAAATGTGCTCTCCCATGGCCAAAAGACTCTAGGAAAAGACATGCTATTTAGCTGAAGCTCTAGCTCAGTAAAGCTCCTTTATACATTCAGTTTCTTCAGATTTCTAGATTAGAGAGTGAATACAGGCAAATTGTAACTGGTTAATATTTTTTGCAGGAAAGATATTTCAAGGTTCTTCAAAGAATAACGTCATAAATGAAGCTACATTGATTTCTAGATATTATATCCCTCTTTCATTAGAAAGCCTAATAAAGCACAAATCAAGTATATAGATAGATAGCTTACTGTGTGGACTCAAGATCCAATTAGATATATGATTTGGATTGCAGGGAATGGAGTTTAGGATTCAAGCATTAAATATTTAAAGAATGAGAAACAAAAATATCAAATACTTTAGCACTATACCTACCAAAGAATACATATTTCAAAAATACAATATCAATCTCGTGCTGACATTTTTCTAAATAGCAGACAAGAATTACAATATGCCCCATATAATTCATGAAGACTAAATTTAAGGGGTGAATGAGAGAATGGCTAACCAGAGAAAGAGAATTGAAGCAAAATATAAATATGGGAAATAGAGGAAAGAGGTGGGAGGAAAAGGGCATTTATAGAAGTCTAGATAAAGACATGTACATATGCAAATATATTTATATGAGGATGGGGAAATAGATCTATGAGCCTACATTTATAGCTTTAGTATTAAGGTAGCA